GGGGAGTTCTCTTTCTCTCGCATCTGTATGCAAGTGCTCCCTCTCACATCTGTGTAATTTTTATTAATATTTCAAAACTTTATATAGGATATTAAYAATTATTTAAAATTTCATTAATTTTAATATTGTAAATTACTTTATTAAGTTATGTTAATTTTATTAAGTTAATATTATGTTAGTATAACTTATGTGTTAAGTTGGTGATAGTTAATTTTATATATTAGTTAAGTTAGATTTGTTTTGTTTATTTTTATTGTTATTAATATACTTTATTATGGTTCCTGCACTATAAACTAGTTTTGTGTATTCATCATACAGGACCAATGATGAAGCGAAAAACAAAAAATACAGGACCAATTGACCTCACATATACCCTGTCCTGCTTAGGAATGTGAATGGAATGGGGTGGGAACAGGGTGCCACTCCCCATGAAAATTCCCGTCCCTATCCCCATCCTCGTCCCCACCAACAGGGATATAGTTTCCCCTATCCGTCCCCACAGGGATCCCCATTCCCCACTAATTTTTATGATGTTAAATTCATTTTATTTTTTATTTCTATTTGATTCCAATATTTTAAATATAATAGTTACAATTTACAATCTTATCAAAATGGATCGAAATATATTCAAAAATATTCAACTATACTTTTAAAAATATTAACACAAATATATATTACTAAGCAGGGATCCCCACGAGGATTTACAGGATCCTTTAGAATAGAACAGAAGTTTAGTCATCAAGATCCTCATTGACAGAGATGTCTGGTTAACAAGTCTTTGTGAATATCTCTCGAAGGTTGGAAGTTAGAAGAAATGCCCCGGTGGAAGGGAATGGACATGTGGGCCACTAATTGTATAATTGGTGAGGACTGATCAGAGGTTAAATTTCTTTTTGAACTCCAAACTCTACTCCATGGAGGGGCAACCACTGATAATTTTATTAATCAAAACAGGGACATAAAAAGCCTCACCTCTCTAGAGAAGCTATACAAATGGTCATCAGCTCATAAATATATAAACAAACTATTAACCTTTAAAATAAACATATAATCTAAGACAAGCGTAAAGAAGGTAGACCCATTCTGTCTTCATTAACTAGATCTCTAATATGGCTTTGCATTTCATCAGTCGAGTAGAAGAGAAAAGATTCATGATCCAGAGCATAATTGGTAAGCGTGTCCGCAGGTTTGTTGGCTTCTCTGTAGTTATGGAAAAACTCAACCCTTTCAAAGAATCTAACTTCCTTTCTATGCTTGTCAATCCAATACCATACCCAATTCAGTAACAATTTGAACTAGCATAAGAGTCCGAAATAACTGTTAAACTGGAAAGACCCAAGGACTTGGCCAGCAATAAACCATCCAAACCTGCTGGATACTCATCTATGAGATTTGAAAAAACGCCATAGGATAATTTCATCACCCTGACGAACTCTCCTATATATTGTATTGTATTGTAATGTGGATGCCAGGTTCAAGGTCAGGATTCAATTTTTAGTATTAGCATAAAATGTTCACACATTGAGGGTCAGAGTTAATAGGAAAGATGATTATGGAGTTAGAGAGCTAATAGAGGGATAGGCAGAGGATTTTTTCTTTTATTTGGTGATACACCCAAATCCCCATTGCGCCATTTGATGCTGCCCTTTTCTCAAAATGTTACAGGGGACCAGGGTCTTAACAAGGCCACCCCTGAAAATATTAAAAACTTAAAATATTTAATATTTAGTGTATCAGAGTAAGGCTGATGCGATGTAAGACACCCTGATATGTGACAATTTTGGAGATCAGATTTGCTCCTCACAGACCGTGCTTCACACCAACCTCAGCGAGATCAGATTTGCTCTTCATAGACGGTGCTTCACACCAACCTCAGCAATCGCATGTATGCATTGAGAATATCTCCCATAGTTGATGTTATCATTAATGGAAAGATGTTCCCAATCCACGGCTGTGATGTGCTGTGAGGTTGGTGCGAAGCACAGTCGGTGAGGAGCAAATCCGAATTCAAAATTTTGAACTAGCAGGGGATGAGAGGGTCAGAGTAGGAGTTAAAGATGATTTAAGACATGTACCATCCAATACACCAAGAGAATGAAAGTTTGAGATAGAGTATGTATAGGGTTCAAGTATGATGACGGACTGACATGATACAGGAAAAGCTTAAAACCAATCAACCAGCATAATAACAGTGTCACCAATCAGGTGGGTTTACATCAAAATTCACGGGGGCTTTGATTGGTCAAAGGCTTTTCGGTATCATATCTTCCCAGAAAGATAGATTTTTTCATGTATGTATTAATATGTATCTACCACTTTGTCCATAATACATATCAAACATGTATTAGAGTAGAACCTGGAAACTGAAGCCCGTAGTGGACATACTTAGTGTAGTGGCCCGATGTTGGAACAAAGGAAGAAATCAATGACGTAATGGCTCATTTCATCGATGGATCATCAAAGTCCAGCGAACATATGATATAGCAGATGGACTAATGGACCAACACTTAACACAGACGTCTGAGGATGCCAGGAATTATGTTTGAACATTTTGGATTCTATGATAAGCAAACCATGGCCGTTTCTCAATCTTCAGATTAGCAGAATAAAGTAAAAACGAGTACGAGGGTCACCATAAATGAGACATGGTACAGAAACTAGTCTGCCTCACTTGGAAACTGTAAAAAGGAGGTTTCATGCTTGTAACTGAATACTATGGTACAGTAAAACTGTAGAAACGGGTGGGATATCATCAAATACTCACAAAAAATATAATCCCCGCCCCCCTCCTATGCCATTGCTGTTTCAAGCAAAGTTCAGGCTTACCAATTCAGACCACCATCTGCATCCCGGGATTGGTAAAAATCATCTGGTCGTATAATGTTGACATCCTCAAACTCATTATCATCTGGAGGCAGAATTAATTGGGATAATAATAAATTAGGAAGATGGAACAGTCTATATTTAAATATACAAACAATTTATGAGGTGGCAATTTGTGTCAAAGAAAGACACAAGAAAAAGATAACTGATGCAAGAATGCAAACGTCACATTCATTGAGGTAATGTTTGGTAACATTGCCATTTTTTGCATTGCATTTCCTTCTAAAAATGGCAGTGCAACGGCATGGTGTTTTTTTTTGTGTTTTTAACACAAACTTGTTTGGTTGTGTTTATTGCTGAATAGGCATTTTTTCAGCATTTTTTGCATAAATCTGTTTCATAGCCCTGTTTAAATCGCTACTAGCAACTTTCCATTTTCGCCCACTACTATTTGTTAGAAACCTTTACCAAAAAATATATATTTTTGAGAAACCAACATGGTACAGTATGATCCAATTCATCTATTTACAGTTTGATTATGCAAATCTGATGGTGAACAACTTGTACACATGCAAATCTAATTATCCAACGTTAGATTTATAGAGATCAGTCTTTTTTTTTTTGAGAAAATTTAACCAGGAATCATTAAGGGAAGAAGAGGTACATGAGAAGATGTACAAAGCAGGGGAAAAACCCCTACAAGTTACAAAGGAGGAAGTTTGTCGCTATACAAATGCTCCAAGTACACACCACATTAGCTAGCTGTATGATTGTGTTCCCTAGGAATCCAAACTAATTTTACATTTAGACAGTCCAAAGAGTCCCTAGCCTCTGCCAAATAGTGACTCAATCTCCTAGGTCCCCCCTCTTTGTCTCTTAACCATTTTATAGTATTTGCTGAATCACCTACGATGATTAAATTTTGGATTCCCAAACTTTTAATTATTCTGATTCCTGTGAGAGCAGCCATTACTTCAGCCTTTGTGGAATCTGCCAAACCAATTGGACCGCTAAAAGTCCAGCAAATGTTGCCCCTTTCATCCCTTAGTGTTCCTCCAATACCAGCTAATCCGGGGTTACCTAAGGCACTTCCATCGAAGTTTAGGACTTTAGGGTCATCACTCCTTCACTGATGGGTCAGGATATCTCAAGGATGATTGATGGAGGTGAGGGAGAAATAAAAGGGGTAAGCATCTCTATTGAGATCATTGACTGAGAGTCCTTTGAACAGATCTGAGTTCACCGTCCAGAGGCTGCAAAGGTAAGTAATGTCTGAAATTAACTCCTCCAGGGGCCTGAATTTGTTGTCAAAGAGCCATTTGTTTCTTTCATCCCAAATTCCCCACAACACTGCATATAGCACTGATTGCCAATAAACTTTACCCCTTTTACTTAAACCTGTTCCTTGACATTGACGTAGAAAGTCCATAATATGCTTTGGTATAGCCCAGCTGTAACCTGCCATTTTCAGGAAATGGAACCAAATCTTTTGGGTGAATTTGCATTGAAGAAAAATGTGATCTGCTGATTCACCTTCACTGAAGCATAAAAACAAACATGAGGGGAGATGGACAGTCTTCCCAAAAACCTTTTTTGCAAGATATCACAAGATCTTCCCAGACAAAGAAACAAACTCTTGAGGGGATATAGCTACACCAGATCTTCTTAAAAGGAAAGGAGGGATGTTGTTCATCAGCAATCAAAACCTTGAACATAGACTTAGAAGAGAATTCGCCAGTGGGGTGCAGGGTCCAGACTCGGGTGTCATAATAGGAGGGGGAGATGTAGGCTTCTTTAAGGGTCTGAATTAAGTCTATTAATTCAGAAATTTCCAAATCCCTTGGGGGTCTTCTGAGTTGAAGGTTTAGGGTGTTCTCAACAGTTTGGTCTGGAAGGCAAGAAGAAATAGTGGCTTCTTGGTCAAGGGTAAGATTAAAAAGTCTAGGGAAGGAGGCTGCAAGGGTAGATTCCCCCCACCAAAGGTCTCTCCAGAATTTTATTTTAGAGCCATTTCCCACTTTATATCTTATAAAAGGAAAGAAAAAGTATGGGTTGATACCTTTCCATGGATTTGTGGACTTTATCCTGTTCAAATGGAGATTGCTATCCCACCCATTTACATTTGATCCATATTTGCTTGAGATAACAACTGTCTAAAGAGCATTGGGTTCTTTAGGAAACCTCCACAGCCATTTACCTAAGAGAGAAGAATTTTTCTCTTTTAAGTGCCCAATTCCCAAACCACCTTCCTCTTTAGGCTTGCATACTTGTTTCCAACTGACTAAGTGACTTCTCTTTTCCCCACCTCCTTCCCAAAGAAAGTTCCTTTGAAGCTTCTCAATCTGATTTCTGACTTTGGTTGGAATATGGAAGATTGAAAGGAAATAGACTAGCAAATTTGCTAAGGAGGCCTTCAAGAGAGTAAGCCTTCCCCCTTTTGAGAGATAACACTTCTTCCAAGATGATAGTTTCTTCTCACATTTCTCCACCACTGGTCTCTAGAAATTGAGAGATTTTGGATTCCCTCCAAGAGGCATCCCTGGATATTCGATAGAAAGACTCCCCTCTTTACACCCCAACAAAGATTTGAAGCTCTCCAGAAGTTCCCCTTCCATTGAGTTAAGAGCTACTATAGAACTTTTGCAAAAGTTAACCCTCAAACCAATGATAAGTTCGAAACATTCAATTATCCTTTTAGCGTTTGTGATGTTGGTTATGGAGGCATCCAAAAACAAAATTATGTCATCAGCAAACTGCAAGTGTGAAATGTGAATCTTGTCCCTTCCCACTTCGAATCCTTTCACCAAGTTAAGGAGAATAGCCTTATTGAAGAGATAGTTAAAGATGTCCATTACCAAAGTGAATAAAAAGGAGGAAAGCGGGCAACCTTGTCTAAGACCCCTACTAGCCTTAAAGTAGCCTTTCCCTTCACCATTTATCAACACAGAAAACCATGAAGAACCAATGCAACCCTTAATCCACCTGATCCATTTTGCTACCAAAACCTCTCATCTTTAAGCAATCTAAAATACAATCCCAGTCCACTTTATCATACACCTTTTCCAGATCTAATTTCACTAGGACCCCTGGGTTCCCGGAGGATTTTCTGTCTACCACACACTCATTTGCAATTAGAATGCTGTCCACAATTTGTCTCCCTTTTACAAAAGCAAATTGGTTTGGGGAAATTAGATCTTCTAGGACTTCTTTAAGTCTTTTAACCAAGACCTTAGCCAAAATTTTATAGATGCTCCCTATCAAACTTATTGGTCTTAAGTCTTTAACTTCCAAAACTCCCCCTTTCTTTGGGATGAGGCAGAGAAAGGTTGAAATTAGGCCTTTGTTAACAATGGCAGAAGAGTGAAAAGTCCCTGAAAAAATCCATGAGATCTGACTTTACTATTTCCCAACACTGCTGGAAGAAAAAGAAGGGAAATCCATCTGGTCCTGGAGCCCTATCTCCATCCATGCTGAAGATGGCCTTTTTAACTTCTTCCTCTTCAAAGCTCTTTCCAACCAAACCCTCTTTTCAGCTGATAGAGTTGTGCCTTCCCATCTGTTCAATGTAAACTGGTTATTACTATCCTTGGAGTAAAGGTTTTCGAAGAAGGAAAGGAAGGCTTCCTTAATTTCCACAGGACTCTCCACTTCCCTCTGGTTCAATTTCAGCTTGGAGATGAAGTTTTTCCTACTCCTTCCGGAGGCATAAGTGTGAAAGAATCTGGAATTATTATCTCCTTTCAGCCATCTCACTCTTGATCTTTGTCTCCAGTAAATTTCTTCTCTTCTGATCAGTTCCCATTCCTTTCTCAAATCTTCTCTTCTACTTCCGTTTAATGCATCAAGAGTCCCATTTTGTTCTCTACTATCCAACTCCTCTAACTCCGTAAGAATTCTTTTCTTCTCTTCTTCAACAGCTTTAAATTCCTCTCTCCTCCCAAGCTTCTTTCAGGTTTCTCTTTAGAGATTAGTTATCTTTTTCCTCTTACATACTTCCAATTGTCCTTTTTTGTAAATCATATGGTCCATATTTTTCCTCTCTTGTATGCTTCCAATGGTTAGATACTTAGATCAATCGGTCCATTTTTTCCTCTCTGATGAGAAAGAAGAGACAAACAAAAGCAAAACCAATTCAAAGGGGCACTTGGATCAAATGTGATCCGACCCAAATATACATAACCTTGATACCAAAAATAAAAAGAAAAGAAAAAAAAAAAAAAAAGCCACCATGTGATCTGACACCAGTTGCCACAGCTGGAAGTGTTCAGGAGTCCGGAAGACCAGAAGCCTGCTTTCTATAGCAACAAAAGCTACCATGGCAGCAAATATGAAGAACACAGACGACAGTGGCACTCATATATGATGTGGCAACACATTTCTCACAAATCGTATTGATCAACCTAAAATGCAACAGAAACACAACGCCACTGTAGCAAACACCCCCAAAAAAGTTAGGATTTGACCATATAGAAGAAAATAGGTATTCAGTGGGGTATATGCAGTGTACGTGTAACATCTCTGTGATGCACCTGATCATAAGTTAACTTCAACATGCTATGTCGGATGCCACATCATCATAGCCATTGTGATCTGTGACCCACATCTATTTGATGTTTCCAACAATGGTCCCCCTTACCAATTTTCAAGTGTAGCCATTTTTCAAGTGTTTCAAGCAATAATGACACTAACCAAACAGATTTTTAGCAGTTAGAATTGAAATGCGATGGCATTTATGTGGCACTGTTTCTGCTGCAAGTAAGGTTTCAAATTTCGGCATGATATGCCTGATACGGAGCATATCTTATCGTATCTTTTAAAGTTCAATATGAGATACAGTGGAAAAGACCATATCACGGGTGTATCGGAGGCATATCAGTCGATACGCTACGAAAAAGATATAGACAAAAAATGAAAAAAGAAAAAAGAAATAAAGGGTCTTTCCCCTGAAATAAGCCTTCTTTCACCTCCAAACCTCATTCCTAGAGTGCTAAATATGCAAAAAATGCAAGAAACACATGCATCAATTGTTTTTGAAGATTTTTCAAGTTTTAAAAAATATTGCAAAAGTACGTAAGCTTTTTCAATTTTCACAATTTTTTCTTTTTTTGCTTGAGTGCTTGAAAAGGGTCATAACCCAATGACTGGATAGGGACCTAACCCATTTGTTTTCAAAAAAGTTGGCACCCTCAGACTCAGATGTATGTTTACACACTTTTCAGCCACAAATTTTACCATTGCATCAATTAATGTTACCATCTCACTCAAATAAACAAAACCCCACAAATGGAAGTTACCATATAAAATCAATATGGATCAGATAAATTCTTATGTCAGTTATCCAAACTAGTAGTCACTAAATGGAAAAGAACAATAATCTAGCTAAAACAGCAAAATGCACTACTCAAGTAGCTGGGCTCCTCTGAATAAGTGGTTAGAACTAAACTAAAACAGGAAATTGCAAAAGACAGAAACTAGAATAGAATGAACATTCACTTCTAATGAAAAACAACTATATCCTTAGGGACAAGAAATAGGTAAAAGATCTAGAATGTATATGAAACATACCTTTTCTCAGGGTCAGAGCCACAATACAATCATTTTCAACCTGTGAAAAGATGATGAAATCACCAAATCCATTTAGAGACTTGTTACAGTTGCAAGATCATAGCATTTTTTTTGCAACTATATTATTTTTTTGTTAGTGGGGAGTGGAGAAGTTATTGCCTTTAACTCCATTAGATAGAAGGATCTGGAAATTAAAATGTTTAACATCAGAAAAAGAAGAACACAGAAAGCAACTAACTATTTCTTGGATACCTTCTGATCTGCCAATGTTTTTGAATCATCCAAAACCTCACCAGTTGCCACAAGGATTAAACGTTGATCATTTACAGGCTGATCAATGAGATTTTGCAACTTCTGTTTAATGTCTAATATTGTCTCCGTAGGATCACACTGAATGAAGTAGGTTGTCTTATTACGCTTAACACGTATGTACATAGCCTACATCAAATATGCAAAATAGTTGTTATAAAGCAGAGAGGTACATATAAAAGTTAGAAGCATTAGCTTGAGTTATGTACATAGCCTACATCAAATATGCAAAATAGTTGTTATAAAGCAGAGAGGTACATATAAAAGTTAGAAGCATTAGCTTGAGTTATGTACATAGCCTACATCAAATATGCAAAATAATTGTTATAAAGCAGAGAGGTACATATAAAAGTTAGAAGCATTAGCTTGAGTGGTCAAATCAGTAGGGAATAGTCCAAACTTAACAAGGACCCAAAACAAACACTGCATCTCTCTTAGTTGTTTATATCTAGTTATCTACAAGGAAAAATGTTAGCATTCTAGAAAATAGAGGCATTTTGAATTGGTATAAACTCCCTAGAAAGTCTTAATATACTGTTTTTTAAACAAAATACATGAGTTTAGGGAAGTAATGAGAAATTTCTGCAATTAAAAACCAAAATAAGAGAAAATTGGCTTGAAAGAAGTAGATAGACAAATTGGGAAATCAGTAAAAAAATTCTAGATGGTAATTCTCTGAATAGCAACTGAGAAACCAAATTTCTTGATTGAAGAAAATCATGATTCTTAATGAGGATGTGCAAATCAAAGTTCAAGAATGACTACACGCAAATTAAAGAAAGATCCAAAGTTCCAACCGAAGGCTGCAACCCAATTCTTCAATCACAGAAAACACCAATGACGACTAAAAAAGACAGATTCATGAATATCTAATAGCAAGCTAAACCAGAGTGAAAAGAGGCTAAACAACAAGCTACACACGTTATTACAAAGATAAAAGCATAAGTTGGAAACAAGGCCAATGAAATAGCATTGAGAAATGATGTGAGGACTCACAATTTAACAATGGATGCATGGTCCTAGTGATCAGAAAATTGGATGTATAATCCTGGATAAAGTGGAATATTGATACAATATTCAAATAGTGGACCCACATATACTTGGTTCTTGCTTTCATGTAGTGGATCCACGTATAATTGAGATAAGAATTTGTGGAGTTAGAATTGAATATGGCTAACAATCCAGAAAATTATCCAATCATCTTTTTCAGAATTTGAAGTATAGGCAACCACATTTAAGGATTCTCACAACACAAGCAATTGCCCTAGCATTGCCTTCAATGACAAGAAACAAATCTGCAATTTGAGTGATATTTAATATATCTCCACAAAGCTATTCATCAAAAATAAATAAATAAATAAATAAATCTCCACAAAGCATCAGAGAAGAAAACAAGTTGTCTTCCAACAATGAGAGGCTCCAACAAGAAGAAAGAAATCCTAAGCCTTTGTCAACACTGATTGTGAGGAAACCCAGAGAAAAGAAAAGAAAATAGAGCAGGAGCTTGTTTATTGTTTTTCCTTCATCTCTCTCTAGTGCAGGTAGGGCTTGTCAAAAAATTTGCTTAGTTTTCTGTGTGACAAAGTTCATTTACAGGGACAGGCCTGTGGAAAATAGTGGAGGATTAAACGAGAAAATTTCTGGAAGAGAAGGAAAGACAGCCCACATAACATCAACAAAAAGAGGGGTGCAGGAGGAGTTTGTAGAAGACAATGGTGTGGCTATCTTTGCACAAAAATCAGGCAGAGAAAGGGTTTTAGGGATTAACATGGGAGGAGGCAAGACAAATTCTTACAGTTTTGAATACATTTGTCAAGGACAAGTAGAACTAATTCTGTTGGGGACGAAGAGAAGGAAGAAAACAGTAACATGGAAGAGGGATTGGGTGTCGACACAGATGTGAGGGAGGGTGGGAATGAAAAGGGGTAGATAGAGAGGGAAGAGGCCCAAGAGGTGATAGCAGTGGATGGAGATTTGGAGGAATCGGAGATAGAAAATGATGACTGTGAATCAGCAAGGATTCAAGAAAGGAAGGGTCAAATTGGAGAACAAAATGAGATGAAGAGGAGGGGAAAAGGTAATGTTGCTGGAGAGGTGAATGAGAAGGGTAAAGAGGAAGCAAAATCGGTGGATAGAAGCACACAGGTTTATAAAAGGAAAAACTAGATCATTGGAGGATCCTGGTGAACAGGGAGAGGCTTCAGAGGAAGATGACTATCAGAATGAGAAGATAGAGGTGGATGAAACACATATAATTGAAGGTTCAATCAACTTGGATTTTGTTGTGAATAGGGAGGTGGAGGTGAGCAAGATTTGGAGCTATTTTTTCTAGGGGGCGAAGAATTTGCAAGGCATTTAAAGAGTTGGAGGAAAGGGAGAAGGAAAGGGAGCAAGAGAAGCTGGTTCATGATGAGGTTGGTTCAATTTTGAAGGAGCATGAGGTTCTTGATGCAGTGGAGTTTAATGAAAATGATGGGACGAATGATAAAGAAGGGGCAGTGGATGAACTTCTCTCCCTGCTGAGTACTGTTTTTCTGGACTCTTCTTGTGAGGATAGCAAGGGAGTTAAGGATACAGTTTAATTGCGCAAGAAGATCAGCAAATGGAATGGTTGATAATTTAGCAAAGCAAGGAGTAAATAGGGGGGCTTTATTTTGGGCTTGCTTGTAGGACTGTTTATTCTGTTGCTCTCTCTAGCCACATCCTTTGGGTGGTGACAGATGTACTTTTTTAATCTCTTTAGTGAAAGTTACCATTTCCTATCAAAAAAAAAAAAAGAAGGATTTGGTTAGCCTCCCACTCTGGTCTGTATTCTTGCTCTTCTTATTTCAATGTCCTCCACTCTTCAATTGTAGCAGTGTCTTTCCCAACTAAAGAGGTGTGGTGCAGCCCAGTGCCTCCAAAAGTGAGGCCTTTTTGTTGGGAGGTGGCTCTTTAAGATATCAATACCTATGTTGTACTTCAAAAATGAAGGCCAAATCAGTGCCTTCCCCCTCATATCTACTCTCTTTGCTTGTGGTGAAACTACTGAGCAGTGTGCACCTATTAATCTCCTGCACTTTTGTCTCTTTTATTTGGGAATGGTTTTCCTCTCTCTTTGGTTGCAGGTGGATTCCTCCTCCTAATGTGGCAGGCCTTTTTGAAGAAACTTTCTTTAGGAAACCGAAGAGAAGGGGAAGGATGTTGTGAGCCACAAGATCTGCGGTTTTATGGGCAGTATGGGAGGAAAGAAATAACAGGATCTTTCAAGGAAAAACAAAATCAAGGGAAGGTTTGAATGATTGCATCACAATTAAGGTAGTGCATTGGGTAAAAACAGCTGAGTTGTTTAAGGAGTTCTCAGTGGATTATATAATTAAGGATTGGAATTCAGTAGCAAACTCTTCAAGATCCAGTTCAGTAATATTTAAGAGAGTTGGGCAGTTTCTACACAACAAAGAGTAAAGATGAACTTCAATGGCAGCTCATTTGGTAACCCGGGGCCTTCAAGTGTAGGAGGAATATTTAGAGATGGGGAAGGAAAAATCTTGGCTATTTTTTCGGGGCCTGTAGGACTGGGTGATTCATTAAGAGCAAAGCTGTTAGCTTTGCTGCAAGGACTGAGACTGGCTAAACAGATAGGACTACACCAGATTGAAGTGGAAGGGGATTCAAGGTTACTAATAGACTGGATGAAAGCTGGGAATTTGGGAATTTGGAATCACATGCAAGATCTGTGAGAAATTTGGTGTCTTAAAAAGGAAATTGAAGCAGATTTCAAATGGGTTAGAGGAATAGCCAATGGCCTGGATGATGCTTTAGCCAAACAAGGATACAACAGGAGTGAACTTTTCTGGTCTGTATTGTAACAGTGGATCTGGATATGGGATCAGCATTCCAACTATGGAATATCTGATATGTAATTTTATGATTTAACGAATGAAAGTTACCATTTCCTATCAAAAAAATACACAAAAAAAAACAAGGGGAGTTGAGTTCAAGACTGTTGATAAGAATGCAGTTTTTGAGTTGGAGAGGATCAATAACAGTTCTAAACAGGTGAAGGAATGTAAGAGAAATCTTAATGCAATGAAACATTGTGAAAGGCATAAACTTTTTTTTATCAAATGAAAGGCATAAACATCATCAAGTCATCCCCGTCTTGAAAGTTTTTGCAAGATCAAAACGAGGTGTTTTAGGGTTGGGGCCTATCAAAAATTTGAAGAAGGTTAAAAAAAAGTTTGTAAGAGGTCTAACAAAGCCTGCTTATCAAAAAAAAGAGGTCTAACGAGGCCTTGATAACTGCCTCTGTTGCTGCTGATTAAGGAAGTAAGCTTGAGATGTCGGTTGTTGATGGGTGATGCCATGATTATTTGGGGTTGTGGTGTTTCTCTTTTCTTGGTTTGGGAAGAAGTTTTGTTTTAAGGGAGATTGGATATGTTTGGCTGCTTTTTGTATCATTCTTATTTAAGAGTTTTTGAATGTATTGGGAGTTTTTTGTTTTGTTTGGTGTTTTGGGTGCTAATGGAATGAGTTTTGAGTTGATTTGAGTCTTTTAGGAGTTGATGAGTTCTTTTGTTGGGTGTAGGGATTTTCTTCTTCTTTCAGATGACTTCTTCTCACTCTCCTTGTACTCTTTTCTTTTTTATTTTATTAAATTTTTTATTTATTATCAAAAAAAAAACCCTTTCTCCACATTTCTTACTGGGAAAACCCTCATTGTTTTTTTCTCTACAAGTAACTCACAATTCTTGTATATTTTTGTTGAATTCAAACAATTAACAATTTCTTTTTTTTTTTTTTGAGTCTTCACCTTTGAATTATCACATATACAAATACGGATTTTCTCTTTAGCATCTCCCTGTTCTAACAAAACAAGGCCTCCACCTTGTAGGCTTTATTTTTCATAGAATATGTAATGTTGCTTTTATTGCTCATGCTAGGGCATTCCCCAGAAGTGACATGCTACACCTTTACCCAAGTGTGGCAAGAATGGGCAAGGGTATGCCAGGGCATTCCCAAGAAACGACATGTGGATATGGAACTGAACAGAACAGATTGGCAAAACAGGATTCATGCAACCAACCCATATAGTTGGTACAAGACTTGGATGATGATGATGTTTGTTCTGCTTTTAATATTTAATTTTGTTAATTTTATATGACTTTTGGTATTTTCTAGTCTTTTTTTTATCAATAACAGAAATCATTTTATTAAAGGACAAGATAATTACAACATTCCGGGAAGAGATAAAGAGGCTTAACTCTCCCAAAACGAAAAGAAAAGAAAATTACAGTAAAGCCCAAAACATCTGTTCCCTTCCCACCCCTTGTTTTGCCAATGTATCTGCAAAAGCATTTGCAGTTTTTGCAGTCCTCTTCACCCACTGAAATTGAACCTCCAACCCCCTAGTTAGTCATTTAGTCTCCTTTCTCTCATTTGCATATTTCCACAGTGTCCTTCTGTAACCATCTTAAAACCAACTTTGAGTCTCCTTCAACAATTAGCCTATGGATATTCAGCTCCTTTATCTTTCTTAAACCTTCCATTAAGGCACCTCCCACAGCTCTAAGAGACTCCATTCCAGTTTAGTCAATGAAAAGATTGAACATCATACTTTTGATGATAAGCCTGGTTCTGTTTGTTTGGTGGAAAGCAAAACCAAACACTCGATTCTTGTTTATACTTAAAGAGATCAAATGCATTAAAGTTGCATAAATATCTTTTGTATAGTTTTTGTGGCACATGAGAGTGCAGCATCCCATATCTCCTGATATATTAGCATTTATATACGGAATGGTGAAACAGGACCATGTAGCCAACTTCATACAGTTGGAATAAGGCTTGGATGATGGTCATTTTCCTCGTAAAATTGTAGCCTTAGTTATTGGAACAAATCACCCAAATTACATTATTCAACCTATTATTATTTAAAAAAAATGCGATCCTCAAAACATTAAAGAGATATCAAAGGAGCAGTCAGTGAACACAACAAATTGTAAGGAAAAATCAAGAAAAGGAAACCAAGAAAATAAATACTCTCAACATACCATTTTGACGATTCTGCTATGACCAAGAGATGAATAGTGACAAACCCCTGAAGAGTCTTTACTTTATTCGTTTCCTAAGCTCGCAAGACTCAAGCAACTACAAGGGGAAAAACAAAAAGAGAAAGCATCAACCCAAATTCATCCAAGATTTCATCAGGAACATACACATCCTTAACCTAATACACTTGCACTTGAATTTTATAATTATTAAAGAAAAGTGATAATTACGAACTATCCAATGAAGCAAATTAATAAAGAGGGACCACTAAAGCCTGTCAAATAGAGTACACAATCCAATGAAGCAAATTTACGAACTATCCAATACAGTTTATTCGTTTCATTTTTGGTCGGTACCACCAACATGCAACATCTTGGTTGCAATGCATTCTATCAATAAATAAGCTAATTCCATATCAGTAAGACAGTAACTCAATGGAAGCATGTCCAAGCATCTAGATCTATTTCCCAGAATAGTTAAGAAAATTCTCTATACACAGGGTCGTACAATCATATTAAGGGTAAAAAAAGGAGTCTCTTGTATGCAGAATTCTGTCGAATAAAGCTAAAAATTTCACTTCTGCATTTCAAGAACAAATCTTTTCCTCTCCAATGGGTTTCACAAAGCCCCTCTAATGATCATCAAATCACTCTAGAGGGAGGTAACCTCCACAGCATTAGCACCAGTAAAACGAATTCTGTAAAAAGGGAGGGATTATGCAGAAAACAGAATATAAAATGATTACAAGCCAAATGACAAAAAAGAAAAGAACAAGAAAACATAAGATCAACCTAATACAACTCTGACGATAATCTAAAACTGTGGGAACTAACAGATTCCAAGAAATATTAGAAATTCAACCTGATAATCAGATTATCCTCCTTCGATCCTCGTAACATGCCAGTTTCAACTCAAACTGATTTTCTTCCTTCTTTATTGGGAAAATTCCCAATAGGTACCCCTGTAATTTAGGTCAAGTGCCAATTTAGTACCCAAACTTTAAAATGCGACAATCTAGTACCCGAACTTTCAATTTGCGACTATCCAGTACCAGACATTAACTCACCGTCAGTCAGAACCATCACGTGATTACAGGTGCAGTTTAAACATTTTCATAATACCAAAACTAACCTTTATGAAAAGATTCAGACTGTTTTATCCTTTTCCCTTCCTATTTCCTTAATCCTCTTTCTCTTCAATCTGGGTTGAAGGAACAAAAGAGGAGAGGAGACTTCACTCAACTCCGACTGTTTTACCCAGCGTTAACTCCTGCTCTTCATTCCGAGCACACTTCATTCAACTCAGACCGTTTATTGACAAAGGTGGTAAGCTTTACCCCTAACATCTGTCTCCCCCAACATCTGTTCATCTATAACCATGCATAGTTCAGATTCACGCTTCCACCTCTCAATGGTAGTAATCATCTCCTGGGCCTGCCGAGCAGCCCACCTACTCAGAATACGCGAGTGGCGCCTTCACGCCGTAGACGACTCAGCCAAGTCATCCCCCTTCGAGATCCAACCGTCGCCTGCAGCGCACAAGCTGATCACCCTCCTCATCACCATCCTCCTAATCTCGACACGAAGCCAATGACATACAATCATGCAAATGACCACGCATCAACTCCTCCAAACCCGCTCGAACTCCGCACGAGCATCGTTTCTCTCCTGTTTCTGTTGTCGCGGCCCAAAATCAGTCATGTTATCCCCTCCCCGTCCCCGTCCCCGTCCCCGTCCCCAACCACTCAACTACCACCAAACCCCCGGTGCCTCGAAGGCGAAACCGACACATGACAACACACATCCTCCGTATCGGATCCTAAAATCAAGGATCAAACAACGAAACACTAGAACTCGTGAACAATCGCAATCCTAAACCTTGTCAATTTCGTGAAGAAACAGAAACAAAACCTATTCCAAATTTCCAATTAGGCCACACCACTTACTAAACAGATACAAAACCATTCACACCCCCCAAGAATTGCGAGATTACAATTAAGAAACGTACCAGTTTGTTCAAACAACCGAATCGTCTACAATAAAACAAAAAAGATCAAATCGACATTCAAAAACCAGAGAAAGAATTGACAAAACTACAATTAGGAATGGAAGAATGCAAAAGAACGTACCTTTGAAGCTCTGCTCTTCCTTCACGCAACCAGAAAACCAGAAGCCCTAACTTTACAGGACAATCTACGTATAATAAGCCAAGATTTTCTTAAGTCAGAGATTATAAACAGGGAAAATTCCGGCGTCGCATTCGCTTGATCACCAGCGTGAGGAACTGGTTTCTTAATTTTGGGCAAGAGAGTGGGTGAACAGTGGTTCCTACTTGCAAAGAAAGATTATAGCTGGGGTCACTTTCGTAATTTCGAAAATTAATGCATGCATAGCTCGAAACCGCAGGTCGATCATTTGGTGAACTTTCCGTTGCTTCAATACGATGTCAACTCTACCATTCCCTCGTGCCGTGTGCCTTTATGTTTCAATAGATTATTGATCTACTAATGTTTGGTATTTCAATCCATGTTTCCTTCCAACACCCCTGTCGTTTTGGTCATTGGATGTGATTTTCATCCAAAATCAATCGTTAGATATCAAAATATGTGCAAAGGGTAGTTTGGACCATTAGATTTCAAAATATGGCACTCAAAAATCAAGGAGAGTGACACACTGAATCACACATATGGCCCACTTCTTGAAACACCCTTCCAAACAGAACAAGTAAGCATTAGGAAACGTTTCTCATCGCTGAGTGGGCAAGTGCCTTTAAACACCATTTCTTGAAACGTATGCAAATTAGCCCAACCAAATAAAAGAGAAAGCATTTAAAGTGGTGTTTAACAGATAAACATGTATCTAATAAACACCCCCTAAGAAACTCTAACGGAATCAAACATATACTCAATTTTCACATAACCGTTTTCACAATGTCTCACAGCCTTTTACATCTGTGCAATGGTAACATCTCCATAGTTGTATGTTTATTTTCATGGGGAGATATTCCCAATGCAAAATTGCATGGGACTATGAGGATCAATTCTGGTTTCCCTGTTTAGTACCTAAGGTAAGGGTTAAAGTTTCACAATGAGAGTTCGGATCTCCTACACTCTCCTTTGGTGTATGCAAGAATGCACTTCCAATCACATTATTGTTGGAAGGGTTAGGATTCATCATATGGATGGTCGAATCATGCTAGATGGTTAGGCGAAATTTAGAAAAATTCTCTAATCCTTTTAAGAATCGAATTCTCTATGTTTAAAAAAACTATATTTTTAAGGATCGGTCTTGCACTGAACTGGACCAAATTTGAAACTAAACAAAGAATGAGGTATATACTTAATACAGATACCACAAACGCAAATCCTAAAGTGGAAGTTCATGTCCAAATCAGTCCTAAAACCAGCCTCCACTGAAGATGGCGTAGTGTATTCCTGAAGCCGGTTCAACAATTCAGTTTTCTACAAAACTGAAATACAGTTGCTTGAATCAAACTAAGAATGATGATCCTAATATCCTCTAAATTTTTATTGCAAAAATCAGAGGAAAAATTAATCTATATCAGTCCTAAATAGCTGATGTCGAACTAGAAAAAAACTAAAAGACAAAAGGGTGAAGAGAGAACTATAAACTGCAAAAATATGAAGTTGTCTTGGACTGGTTCGCCCCCTCCTTTTTTATTTTCTCTTATGATGTTATCTCCTAATCTAATTAGGAGATAATCTAAATCCAAACCCAGATTCTACCCATGGCACATAGCAACTTAATTAATCATATTAAGTATGGTCCTTAAGCCCATCAACTGCAAGTCTCACGACCCAAGGGTGTTGCATGGCCAACTTAAGCCTGATTTGTATGGTGTAGGCCCCCACAATGACCTTACATAAGTCCACATAGGATCGACCCAACCTCTGTGAAAAGGCTTGGCCGAATTCGTTGCTAAACATAGTGAACCCATGAGCACATCACAATGGGATCAATATGGGCTCAACATTTACACTTAAATGATCATTAAATTCAATCATCCAATGAAGATTCAAGGATTATAGATTTAAGTAAGATAAAACCCATCAAATAATTAGCCTTGTAATGGTCTCTTACACATAACCTCTCGATCCATAATGATCAAACACTACCAGACAAGAAAAGACCTCTCCCCTAACTGCACTGTACAATATCACACTCTGCTCTGATGGATCCTGAAAATTAAAACCTTTTGCAAACATTTTTCATAAAATATTAATATGTACAGTTGAAATACACTATCGACAGCTTAGGCTTCCATCAGAAAGAGTGTAAACCTTATCTCCCACTACTCCTAAGCCCACTTCATCAAGAACAACTTCCCGATGATAACTATTCAAGATGTAGTCCTCCTCCAAGTAGGCATTTTGACTTTTATGGCATCTACTCGGGTAGATCTTCTAAGGTTGTGTATTTTTAATAATTATAGTATTTTTAAATAATTATCAGTATTTATTCAAAAATAGTATTAAATAATGTATTTATTAATTAATATAATGTAAGCCATAATTATTCAAAAACATTATTAACAATTAAAGTATTTATTAATTAATAGTAATTAAATAATTACAGTATTTTATTAATTAATAGTATTAATTGTACCTTTAATTACTACAGCATTTTTAATATTTATAGTATTATTAATTAATTAAAATTATTTATTAAAATACTAAATTTATTAACTAACAATATTTTTAATTAATATAGTACTTTTAATAATTACAACATTTTTTATACTTACAATATTTTAATTAATTAACATTATTTATTAAAAATAATGTATTTTTTATTAACAATATTTTTAATAATTAACCATATTTTACAGTATTTTCAATAATTGTAGTATTATTAATTATATTATTTATTAATTAATAATGTTTATTAAAATACCATATTTATTAAAAAATATTAATATTTTTTATTAATTCATTAATTAACATTTAAATTGTTAATTAATGTAAGTCATTAATTTACAATTATATTTTAATTGTAATTAAAAGTAATTATATTTAAGTTATTTATTTAAATATAATTTAAGCTATAAATAGAAGAAAATTACATTTAATGAACAAAAATTAGCCAAGAAAATAACCAAAAATAAAGTACCAATAATTTTGTCATAATTACCAAAAATGGATTAATAATAATAATAGTAATAATAATAATTTATATATAAATTGAAACCTAATAACTATAATTAATAAAAATTAATAAAATTAATACAAATATTAAAATTTAGCAAGTTTTTATCTAGCAACTATTAAAAGTTAATAAATTAATAATAATTAGTATTAATTTGTACTTAGGGTTGACTATTTATAAAAAATAGTATAATTAATATTAATAGGATAATTAAAATTAATAATAATAAGAAAAAATTATAAAAATGATAAAATATCCATTTATTAAAATATTAAATAGTAATTATATTTCTATTTATAAAAAATCAACATAGGTATTTATCTATTGCCAAGATATTAAATTACTAGAGAGAGACAAAAAGATTATATTACAAAAGAGAGATAATTAAGAGAGAGTATTAATGAGAGAAAGAGGGAGAGATTATATTACAAAAGAGAAACAATTAAGAGAGAGTATTAATGAGAGATAAAGAGAGACATAGCATTTATATTATTAAAGAGAGAAATGGGTTGATGCAAGGACATTTGCGTATTTTAGGCTCCCCTTAAGGATTAAAGAACTCATGATACAAAACCCCCAAAACCCTAATATTAATAAAGTAATAAAATATTATGAAAATAATAATAAGATAATATTAATAATAAAAGTACTATAACAAAGTACTACTAAAATAATAATAGAAAAAAAATTAATTATTAAATATAATAATGTATAAATAAAATGTTAATACAATACATTTTAAGGTAGGAAAAATAATTTTAGTTATAATAAATATTACTTCTAAGTAACAAATAAATAAATAAACTAAAATAAAAATATTAACATTAATAACTAAAAATAAAATATTCATTATAAATACTAAGACATTGATTATTAAAGACTAACAAAATAATAAATTACTAATAAATTTGTTAGTTGATTCTAATTCCAAATAAACTAAACAACAATAATCGGAATTCAATAATTATGTATACATATATATTTTTTTTAATTTTTTATCATCTTAAATACAATAAGATGGTTATAAATTAAATGCAAAGATGATCTAAAACCCAACATAATAATCAGATGTGAATGTGGATCTAGATTTCATAATCGAATGTAGATGTGGATGCATTTGGTTCTGATCTGAATCCAAACCATTTATAATCCTACTGTTTACATTGTGTGGGGTTGGTGTAGATTTGAGCTAGACCTAGCTTAGAAGAAAATAGTTGCTTGAGCCCGAAAATTTGTTGGTTTAGTCGGGTTTAAGCTAAGTTATGAATGATCATCCCTAAGTAGGAGTCTTAAGACATTTATAATTAGGTCATTATTAGTTTTAATATTTTAATTAAATTTTATAGTTTTTTATATGGAATGCAATGAGGTTTATTTTATTGTTTTAATAAATTTTACTTATTATTATTATTTTATGAATTATTATTTTTTATTAAATTCTTTAATAGTTTTTAGATAAAAATTTGCTAAAATTTAATTTTATTTATTAGGTTTCAAATTATAGTTCTATGACAACTAACTAATTAATAGGATTCGAATGTGAATAGGGATGGCAATGTTCCTCATTCCATTTGATATTCAACTTCCCCAACCCGATGGGGCTGAGAATGGATATTACCTTGGCAGAGATGGGGATTGATAATGATACCCAACCGAGGATGGGGACGGAGATGAGGACGAGGATTTGTTTCACAGTCTTAAATCTTGAGCTTGGATTTAGACTAATTTAATTATGACTAGAAAGTTAATCTATAGATTAATTTAATTATAACATTAATGATTAATAAAGTAATATAAATAAAATAAAACACTAACGGATAATATGAAAAAATAATAATTTATTGAGTAATTAGTAATAATTTATTATGGGTCCATTTGGCACATCTTTCCGCATAGTCTTTCGACTGTTTATAAGTTGGGCAGACCGATTTTTGGTCTATTTCCGTTTGGCTCGTGGAAGATATATCTGGCAAAAGCTAGAGCACCGAAAAGATGCAAAAGCCTATTTTGGGAAGCTCCAAATAAAGCTTTTCATGTCTTTCATGTTTTATTCTCGCGTAGAAAGACATACGCCTACCAAACATGCTTCAGGCTCCTTAGATCTTCATGTAAATGCTTAATACGTCTTTTGACTATTAGAGTTACCAAAAGATCTTCCTAAAAAGACGTGCAAAATCGGCCCTATTTTTGTTAAAAATTATTAATATAATTAATCTAAACTATTAAATTATTTTATAACAAATTAGTAAAATTATTAATATAATTATCAGTTTCC